TCTGTTGGTGTTAGAAATAGAATTGACTTATGTTTGGGCATGCAAAAAAGTCAACACTTACAAATACATGTACATGTATCTGGCCTACAAACTCAAAACTTGAAGGGAAAACATCAGGTGAGACACAGTGAAAGGCAGAGACAAAAGCCAAATTGGATGCAAGATTAAGTTGTGTAATAAAGGCATTAAAATGCTTGCAGTGGTGAATCCACAAGTTCAGCAGGCAAAAGCTAATAAATTCAATTAATTGTGAATAAACTTCACTGGGTTTGACAAAATAACAGAAAATTCTAATGAAATTTAACTAAGCTAAATTACTTATGTGTCTAGCATGAAAGAAAAAATTAGTCTGATCTCGAGCTGTAGACCCTTATAACATATAATTAGGTTTGTTTTGCAAATAATCACCGGAAGTAAATTAATATTTTGTGTTTGAGAATAGACTACGGTTGACCAGATACCGAAGATATGTGGGTAATTTCAGAAATTAGGGGTCCATTTTTTTGTGTCCCTGTCACATCTGACATATTATTTTCCAAGAGTGATGAATTTATGCAAAATACCTGCTAAACAAATAGTAATAGTTTGAAATCAATTCCGGTGATATTTCCATGTCATATAACAGTTGAGATGTAACAGGGACATAAAAATGTCACACTTTTGGACGGCTCTTTTCTGGAATTACCGTTATGTATGTTAAGATTAATTTGAAAATGGTGTGAATCGTCTTTAATATGTGGAGGGAATATGTGATATTCATTGTTATGTTAGGCCACTTACAATTAATTCCTTGTTTATCATCACTGCCCTGACCCAGTTTTCCCTACCATCGTGAATTTTTGGATATTTCCAATTTTTTTCACAAATTTCCGGTGCTGTTCAACCTTGCAGATGTGTCTGCACCACTAAAATGGTCCTGTGTTTTTTTAAATTCTGTAGTCTTGCCCTCAACCATGACCAATTGATTTGATCATGCTGATTTATGGAACACTCAAGTATTAAAATACTGTGCAAGAAAGGTATTTTTTACATTTGAAATATCTAATATCAAAGGTTCTCCCAGCTGAAAAATATAACTTTGAGTGATGATAGACAAGGAATTAATTTGAATCGGTCTTAAGTACTTCTTTACATTATTGGTTTGCACTGGCAGCCAACCCAAGTGTGTAAAAGGAGGAGTACAAGTGATTATATTTTGTTAAATTTAGTTCCACATATCAGACTAGATGTCTGCATTTCTTTCATTCTGTTTGTTTGGTTACATTCATCCCTTCATTTAAGTTCGCATAACCAACGGCCACACATGCATAAGTATGCATGCACCCTATAGGAAAACACATTGAACAGAAAGGTCAGAATGTTGGAAAATGTGAATTTTCATTTTCATGAAAGGACAAGCATCTTTGCCAATTAATTTCTGCTAATCAACTGCTATGTTCATTCTGATTACTGGGTTCATCATTCAAACAAAGGTTTCCTTATTACATGAAGTTGTTACAAAGTAGTACTTTCTGCTGTTTTAAAATTGAAGAAACTTCTCATGTGTTTATCTTGAAGTACTGTTTTCTTCAAAATCCATGTGTGTGTTTCTCCATGAAAACAGCAACATGTACATGTACATGTGGATTTTTGTCCCGATTTTCCACTTTACCAGATGCTTCAAAAATCATCAGAAGGCTTTGGAGGATTTTCGGAATTCAGGAACATATGTAACCTGGCCACAGTTTCTTGATGTGGCTTGATGCCCATCGCCACTGTCTTTCCGGACATTGAGAATTTTGTATGGTTTTAAGTGGGTCAGTGGTAAAAATTCTAATGGAGTTTTTGTGAATGCACCGTTATGCCTTTTTGCTCCTTGTTTGTTTTCTACCTTCCCAGCCAGTTGGGGTTGCAATCTTAAGAGTGTGGATTTATCAGGGAACCAGCAGCTGACGAGTACCTGCATCCGCCATCTGACTGAGCTGTGTGGGCCAAGGTTAAGGAACCTGAATGTGGCTGCTACACGGGTAGGTCATATTCAAGTCCCAATGTTTTATTTTCTTATGTGATACTGCTGCTCCTCTTTCTATTGAAGACAGAAGGCTTTAGCTTAAAAGATGATATTCCTGTCCTCAGCACAGCACTATCATTTATAAAAAACAAACAAACAAACTTGTGTTTTACTTATGGTTTGATATCAGATATTGTGTTTTTTCCTCTGAGCTTTAATTGTGAATATCTTATATTGTAAATTACTTAAGCAGGGCTCCAGCAGTTATTTGTCAGAGTTGCCAAGTGATGATAACATTCATTTACAAACTTTGTTACAAAGTTTGGTTGTCATCCTTAGCAATTGGTGAGTAAAAATAAATGTATCCAGCTCCTTATTAAGAAAGTATGTGGCTACAAAAATATGTATTCTGCTAAAGCTTTGGGAGCTGTTTGAAATTTGCCAGCTGGAACCCTGATTAAGCTAATAATAAGAGAATCATATTTGAACAGTTATTTCCGTATGAATACATGAATATTTACATATTCTACTTCAATGTTCTTTTTTTCTTCCAGATGGATTGCACGATACTGTGGTTTCTGTCTGGCTACAGCCTCTCAACAGCAGTACAGTTGGCAGCAGAGGCAAACAAAGCCAATCTAGATAAGGATTCCTCAAAAGGAGAGACATTGTGTCAGCTGATAACAGAGTTCAGGCTGCTTCAGGAAAGACTCAAGAATCTCCAAGAAGAGGGAAGTCAGAGGCATCAAGAGATTAGGGAGGCAGAGGGAAGGAAGGTGCTAGAAAAAGGGGATGTGCACGATGATGGTGACATTGCTACTATGGTAGAGGATGTTGGAGTACTGGCAGCAGAAAAACAGGAGAAGATGAGAGAGGCTGGAGCAGGATGTCTGGAGAATTTTCAGAGAATAGAGGAAGAAAAAGTGACACCTGAAGATGAGGAAGATGACGAGGAGATGGATGAGGAAGATCAGAGAGTGCAAGAAAAGGAATTGTCAGCTCATACTGGGGAAAAAATACAGGCAAATTGTGACAAAGCTTGGGGATTTGAGAGACAAGGGTTTGACCTCAAAGAAATAGCACTGAAAATACAGGAAAATCAAGGGGACAGAAGTGGGAGTCTTGAGGTCCAGAGAATAACCAGTAATAAGACGGATAATGAGAATCAAAAAGGCAGCTTTGAAGGCAGCCAGAATAAAAAGATCCTACATGTACAGGATGGTTTAGGAGGGAATGTAGGGGAGATGACAGATGAGTCAGTTCAGCAACAGGATTATGGCAGAAATGGTTTAAATCTTGGTGGCACTAGAGATGCACATGGACCAGATTCTGAAATTGGACATTTTGTGAAAAGTGTCATTGAATACTCTTGTCAGAGGTTGAGGCATGAAAGAGATTCACAACTTTGCTCACACTCTCTTGAACAGCAAAGATTGGGCTGGAATGATGCTGCAAAATTTGAACATAGTAAAACATCACCTCAAAAGGCTGGTCTTCTGGTCAGAGGAAGTGCACAAATTGAATTGGAAGAGCAGTGTCTTCATTGTAAGACACTACGAGGATCATACTATGAGAAAGGAGAAAGACTGGGTGATTTGGAGGACAGTGCAGGTGAAACAGGTTTAGTGAATGAGGGGGCCAAAAATGCTATATTAGGATCAATGCCTGAGGATTGCCCAAGCAATTCAGTGCCTGTCCAGCCAACAGATAGCTTATATACATTAACTTGGCCAAAGTTAGGCAATAATAGTGAGTGTTACATCTCAGATTTAGAAGCTGCAAGAAATCAAAGACTGTCAAAGTCCAGTATTGAATATTCCTTCAACAGGGATTCTTTACCCACTGCCAGTTTTCCAGATGATGCTTGTAAAACAAGACCAGCAGATTCAGTCAATGAGAATGATCTAAAGGTCTTGCAAGATACTTGTACCCTTGCAACTGGAGAAACCCTGGATGAGAAAAAGGCTGCAGTATGCCCATGGCATCGCCTGTACACACCGTGCCTAACAGCCCTGGATATGAGCATCATCGACTTTGATGCAACCTTGGTCATGACATGTCTGAAGGAGTTCTTTGTGGCAAATACGCAGCTCCGAAAGCTGACCATTTGTTGGAAGGAACTGAGCGATACCATGCTTGAGATAATTGCTGCTGGAGGAGCTGAGCTACGATCTCTTTGCCTGGTGAGAACACTTTCAAGTTCATGTACTTTTACAGCAGTGTATATTCGCAGGTACATGTAAACGGGCAATTGTCATTCCACACCTCTGAATGAATAGTTCTGCCAGATCATTTTCTTTGGCACAGGTTAATGAAGCATGTTTTAGTTGCAAAGTACCGTCATCAATCTTACAAAATCTAATAAAACTTCTAGATAGATTTTCCAGATTGGGTTTTTTTTATTTGAAAAAAAATAAAAAATTGGATTTTGAAATTTAAATCAGATTTTTTTTATTCATATCGGATTTTTTTGATTTTTATAAAAATGTGAGACAAATTGGGTCAAATGTCTATTCAAAAGCAAGCAAATTAACTGCATGTGTTATAGGTTTCTTTTATTTGTTTTGTGACAAAATTTAACAAAGTTTGATTTAAATTAAGAAATTTAAATCAAATAATTTGATTAAATTCACAGACCACCATTACTTAGCCTTGGTGGAATGCATGTAGTAAAACACCTACCAGTACATGTACCATCACAGAAGACACGTCCTTCAGAGACAAGTACATGCACATACACTAAGGATAAAGTGCATACCAGGTTTTAAACCGAACTCTAAGTTTAGACAAAAGTAGAGTTCACAAGAATTCCATAAAAGGGTATGTGTCAAATGACTAATGAGTGAGGAACATGCCGTGAACAACGGTACATGCATTTATTTTGCATGCTACATACGTAGGTAAAAAATGCTGGTATTTTACCTTGCTCAATGTGCAAAAAGCAGTCTCATTTTATTTGAAATCCAACTTCACTGAGCAATGATTTAGGCTTGATTAAAAATCACTTTATTAAGGGCGTGAATTTAGTGGTTTTAGCTGTAACACTATAATGACTAACGTTGCTAATCTCAATAAAATACATATATACTTGTAGAGATGTACATGTACATGTAAAGGGTTGATGTACACTGACACGTTACCATGTTAAACCATAGAGGAAGGACACAGAAGGAGTTTGAACTGCCCAGGCTATAACATCTGGCCAATTACTGCTTTCTGGCATGTCCAGTACATCCACAGCCTGAGTGCAGTGAATGCTTACTACACACCACCTGTTTCACAACCATAAACCCCTTTTGTACCCTATAATCATGGCCGCAATTTTTCGCCGGTAATCTACATCCTTAAAATGTAGTGCACTGCAGTATAGGAAGATGAATATTCATGCTATCGATGGTGTTGGTGCTTGGCATGATCTGACAACAGTATCAAATTTAATACTTGCACAGTTGCTTGTATTAGGCTGTGCGCCCTTAGTGTTCATGTGGAGTCATTGCCCTTATCGAACGCTTTCTTCTGGAGTTATTTTAGGAATGAATAGCCAAGTTGTTTATAAGATATTGTATTTTTTAAAATCATTTTTATTACAGCATTTACACAAAAAGGTATTTCATGAGATCTCTTCAGCACTTCGTATGATGAAATAGCACTTTTGTTTTTTATGAACTTAACTGTCCAATGGTGGTCAACATGTTGTTGGCCAGTCTTAGCCTTTGAAAACTGATGTTTTGGAGAGACAAAATAAAATTACCAACATTGCATGGATAACAGAACAGCGTATCAAAGTAAAAGTTTATTCATGATGGCAAAAGTAGATCTAATAATTCTTTGCTCTCGATTTCCTGGTCATGGTGATAAGTTGTAGTTAATTGCAAACAAAACACACAAACTATTGCTAGGATATTACTGGTCCCACTTGCAATTGTATGGCTGAGCTGCAGGCAGTTATCAGGCAATTTTGGAATGTTCACTATTGTTTGTCTGACTGGTGGCAATACTCACCAAGCACTTTGAAATGCCAGAGATCTAACTCCTGTGTCCTTCCTCTATAAGTAAACTCTGAAGTGGGCAATTTAAATGAAGTAAAATTATAAATTATTATAAATCCTTTGCATCAAATACACTCACTGAATCCAAAAAGTTGATTTAAATCAAAACAAGTGAACAGAATTGAACATAAAAGTCTTGCCAACCCAGATTTTGTGTAACACATGTGCACTCATACTTCTTTAATACTAGGAACTGGAAGGCTCACTGAGGGGGGATTTACTGTTTAAAATGTGCAAAACCTGCAAATATTTCCAATCAGTATGAAAGAAATTCAAACTTTTTTGCCTTTTTACCCCCAAAATTAAATATATTGATTTTCATTTAAATCACGATTTAAATTAGTGATGTAAATTAAGGTGATTTAAATCAGACAACCTGTATATTTTAAAAGATCTAGGAGGGTTTGGATTAAGACAAACCTGCATTTGTTTTAAACATACTCTATCTGATCCACTCACAAAATTGTTAGTACATTTGTACCTCTTCAAAACTTGCAAGCAAGTTTCATAATGTTGCCTTGTCCTCCATGGTTCAACAGGTCGACTGTAGCAGCCTGACAAGTTTTGGAGTGGCAAACTTGCTTAGCAAATGTAGAAATTTACAACAACTTGATCTCCAAGGTAAGTGATCAACATGCATTCACCTTCCTTCACCCTGTGAGCTTTTGGGCATTAAAAGAGCAAACTGGAAGATAACTGATCACATGTACTGTTGGTTGTAGGTGTGTGCTATATTGCAGATGCAGCCTTGATGCCAGTCTTCATGCAAGGTAACACATGTAACCTTCACAGTTTGAAGCTCTCAGAGACAAACATCAGTGACTCCACTCTCGCCCGCATCGCAAAGTATCTAGGAGAGAAGGTATAATCTAAAATCCTTTAAATTTTTTTCATTCAGTTTTCCGAGTTGCATGATTTGATGTTATTATCCATGCATTCATATTCTAGCTGCCAATCCCCATCTTCATATTCCTCACAAAACACAATTTTTCAAGTTGTCCGTTTCTTTCTGAAAACAGTTTTGAGTGATGCGATCATTCGTGATTTTTCCAGCTTTGAATTCACATATACAAAAAGCTCAATTTTTGCATTATTGGGCCAAGCCCTATTTGCTCCAATTGGCTTTATCACCTCGGCAACCAGTATCTTTGCCTCAACATTCCAAAGCCAGGCCAAAGTTACAAGGTATTATCTGATAAATGATACCAACATACACAAACAGTGCAATTCCTGCCTGTAACTACAAAGCTTTCTGCTGACCAAATATTTTACTGTACATGATTTTTGAAGTGTGAAAATTCTGAGAAGGGGATAGTATTTGTCAAATGTCAGTCTGGTTTTTGGGGGTATTCAGTCAAATGTCAGTCTGGTTGTTGGGGGTATTCAGTCAAATGTCAGTCTGGTTTTTGGGGGTATTCAGTCACATATTTTGAGCATCCAGAAGCTGCAGGATTAAATGATTAATCTTTTCAGATCACGACTTTAGAAATTTCCTGGTGCGAAGAGATCAGTGACCAGGGGCTGGCAGAGATTGCTAAACACTGCACTGCCTTAGAAACACTGACACTTCGCCAGTGCTCCATGCCAGCAAACACCCTCATGTCCCTAGCTTGGAACTGTACTGGTCTGGTCTTTCTCAACATGTCTGGCGTGGAGAACTTGACAGATGGGGTGGCCCAAGCTATGATGCCCAATCTGAGACACTTGAAAAACCTGGACATCAGCTGGAATTCAGGTAAGTTTATCTCTGTGTTTTTATGAGAAGAAGAATTTTCAGGATTTTTGAAATGCCTGTTTCTTTGAATGTGCATGTATAAAGTCATGCTCAGGTGGTTGATATCTTCAAGAAGAAAACCCATCTGTGTTCTCTTTTGTATAACTTATATTTTAAATTTGTAATTACATGTACTTGCTCTCTGCAGTTGACTCCAGTTGTTACAAATCCACAGACCCAGTTAAAATTTTCATTGTATCTGAAATTTGCTGTATGGTTTACCACATGTACAGATTCTATAAAATTTATGCATGCATTCATGCATATACATGTACGTAAATATGCATGATTTAATATTTTAAACATGCCCTCCTAGGGTATTGTGGTGGAAAACAGAAAGAGAGAGAGAGAGATAAAACAAATGGGGGTTCCTTTAAGAAACATTGATAGCGCTGCCACCAGGTAGAATAGTTAAAGCCTAAACCTCCGGAGTTCCGCCCCTCCAGTTTAGTAATTCACGATGGCGTATGTGGATCTGGGTCAAAATATATGACAAAATTTCTCTAAAATAGAACCAGGCGCAGAGAGAAAAGACTAAAATAAATGCAGTCAGAACTTCAGCAATTCAGAACGAATCAAGAACAATTCTTTAACTGTAAATCCACAATTCCAACCAAGTCAGCACTCCTATTTGCATTCTATATTTACAATCCTTGGAGCTATTTATAAATTGTCCTGCTTTTCCCCTCAATAATAATCCAGTGTGACAAAAATGAAGCTAAGCTCTTCAACATTCCAGTGTGCTGAGGGGAACACAGAAGGGAGATAAGTTGAACGCTGTGGTCTCAAGCAACCATGTCTCACCTGTCCTGGTCTCTGATTGAATCAAGTATCATTTAAACTTGTCCAATCAATCAATAGATGAATGACTGGGCATTGTTTAAGCCTCTATCATCTTCAAGTGCACAGACTCGCTATTGATAAAAACTTGACTTAGGTTAGTGTTGCCTGTAATCAAAAGAAAACACATAGGCCCCAGGCCTTTCTCAAATACAAACTTTAATGTTAGCCCTAGGCCAACACTAGGAACCCAGGCCTATGTCAAACATCAACTCTGGCCCAGGCCCATTCACTTAGGGAAGGGGACCATTTAGACCCGGTTTGAAAAGGCCCCCCCGGTAGCCCACCCGGTATAATGCCTAGGCCTACCAGTACTTGCAAACAATAGACCCCAGGATGGAGAAGTTCGAGATCAACAACCAGTCCAGCATCCCAGGCCGGTAGCCAGGCTGGTATGAAAGGGGTTTTTGCAACAGGGCGAGCTTACCGGGGGGAGGGGGGGCCTTTTCAAACCGGGTCTAAATGGTCGCCGGCCCTTAAGCTTTAGGCATTCAAGCCCTCTTCAAGGTCCTCCAAGGCATCCAGACTCTCTAGCCTGACTCCAAAATAAGTCTCTCATATGATCACCAACTCTAGTTCTTCCCCAACTATGATTCCAGGTAATCGATTGAATGACTTACAGTGACAATGTGTTCTTAAGCTCCCCAGCTCCCTAGCTCCCCAGGCAAAAGCTCCCCAGCTCCCTAGCTCCCCAGGCAAAAGCTCCCCAGCTCCCTAGGCAAAAGCTCCCCAGCTTCTTGGTAAAAAACTCATTCTCAAACCAGTTCTCAATTCAGTGCTCTCTGATTCAGCTCCCCAACTCAAAATATAGTTAACACTATGACAAAAATCTCAACGATCCGGAATTCCTGTGAACAGCTCCCCTTTCCTATAACAGGTAAGGCCTACTAAATAACTCTTTTGCTCCCCAAAACTAATCAAACCATCAGTGATCAGCAGTACAATTGCTTACTCTTGGACGAATATCAACCAACTAGCCTCGATTCACACAAAATTTACCCTATTTTTACCTTTAAACTGCATGCCTTTTCCAGAATACTACACACACAAGTAGGCCGCGCCCACTTCTGAAGCTCACATTGAACAAATTCACAATAAGATTCCCTTAATTTGTCACATATTATTCCAGCAAAATCTTACTCAAAAGGCTGAGCTAATCTTCAAGAAATTCTATAACTTATCATTTTCTTTGCTTATGAATAAATTATACAGTAGTAACAAAAAACTCACTTATCAGGTGTGTTAACAACCCCAAATCCAATGTAAACAAATCCTAAGTTCATTAATAAAAGGACAGTGATGTCAATACCAATATTCATTTATCATTAATCAGTTTAAGAACACGCTGGATGACATTGACCTCAAACGGGCACTACTCCGAGAGAAGCCATCCATGCTTGATGAAGCTGTACAGATTGTTGTGGAGGCTGAAGTATGGTTCAAGATGGAGAAGGCTGGATGATCAAGGCAGTGAAATCTGCGGAGCCTGTGCAAACTGACAAGGTGGCAACAATGGTGTGCAAACTGTTGGAAATACAGTGCCGTGGCAAGGGAACAAAGAAGGCCGATGACTGGAAGCCAGGATGCTGGAAGTGTGGTAGCCTGGACCATTTCCAGGCCCAGTGCCCCCTCCTAAAGAACGACCAGCGTCCGTTATCAGCATCCGTTAAACCAGGTAAGGCCAGTCTTGGGGCCAGAAGCCCTGCCGTAGATGTCCAGCGGCCCAGTGTACCTAAAGTGCAGGCAGTCCCGCCGCCAGCGAAGGTAGCCTGGCCTGCTGGTGCAGGCAGTTCCACCGTCGGCACAGGTAGCCTTACCTCCGGTGCAGGCAGTCCCGCCTCTGAGACAGATAGCCTCACCGCCGGCGCAGGAAACCCTGCCACCCGCGTGGGCATCCTCGCCACAGATGCGGACAGCCCCACGGCCAACAAAGGCAGCCCCACCTACGGTGTTGACAGTCCCACCACCTCCCAGTGTTGCAACATGACCAACATCTTCTCATGAACTGGGACTCTATGTTAGAAGGGTGATTATGGACATGGCTGTGATTTTCCTGATTGACACTGGTGCATCAGAAAGTTTCATCTTCACCCACGTGAGTGATAATGCAGACCTGCCAACCTTTAGAATCGCAAAAGTGTATTCGGAGGTTCCAAAATGTGTATTTTTCAAAAAAATGTGTATTTTCCCAAACAAACAGGAAAGACAAGCTTACAAGTACCTTTGCGTGACCACATAATATTTGAACTTTAATACTTACTCGTGCAGGCTTCAATGGACCTTATAATTTCCTGGTGTTGCTCACAGCAGTTGCTTTCGTGCATTTACGCAACAGTTCATTTTGGTGTGCACGTTACTTCCATAGCCTGGCTGTGGCTTGGGTGGATATTTTGTTTGTGAGAGAGTCTGACAGACCATAACATCTTTGAGAAAACCAGTTCTTACGAAGCACTTGTATATCATTGGTTCATCTCTCTGAAGTTCTAAATTCAGATGGGTGAAGAGTGGTAATGTTTGTTTTAAAAACAAACAATAAAGTTTATTGCAGTCATCCAAAAGTGTTGCATTAATGTTTGCAGCTTTTAAGGTTTCTCTCTTGTCAGACTTTGGAATTGAGGCTGCATTACCAGTTGATTTGGTAGTGGTTGATGTGGTGTTTTGCTTGCTTTGCTGTTCTCTTGAGGGGAACTGCTTTCTTTCCTGGGACTGCAGCTGTACTCTTGGCCACAGGAGTTGATGTAGGTTTCTTCTTGGGGATTGTGTAGGCACCGATTGCCCTGGCAAAATCATTGCTGCTGCTCTGTGAACTGTGAACTGCAGAGCCCTTCCCAGCGCATGATGCTGTTGTAATGCTTGCACTCTCTTTGGTTTGCTTTGATTTCTGTGTTTATTTTGGTTGATTTGAATCGTCCTCTTTCTTTCTTTTTGCTGACCCATGACCAGCTTCCCGCTTGAAATATTCTAGCAATGCAGGCCCCTGTCCCAACAGTCTGTTCAAAGCTTTCTCAAGGGAGAGCAATCGGATGCACACATGTTTCAATATTTTGTGATTTGCAGTGCCACACACAGGCTCTGCACTCCTTTCAGTTCTTTGTGGCGCTTGGATGACTTCTCCAAAAAATAGTAGATGGAGATCAGTACATCAACTGGAGTGAAAGGCAAAGTTGAAGCTCCTTTTTCTGCTGATAAGTGAAGACAGTGGCAGAGGCATCCAAGAACAAATCTATCTGGATTCTCCTTCCTCACAATTGCTGCTTCACCTGCATGAATGCCCATCATCACAGATACGTTGTCTTCCATGGGATCTACTTTTCTTGCAAGGCTTTGTTGAGTAGTTGAAAACTGTTCTCCCCTGTTGACCTTTCTTCGGTAGTGGCGATCTCCAGTAACACATTCACAACTTTTTTCACTGTTTCATTGAAGTAGCGAACGACAATTGGATCTTGCTATCTTGCTGATAAGTCATTAAACTAGACACAGAAATGTCACAATCCCATCTTCATATACTGGAATTCCAATTGTCACTGTAGATTGATTCATGCTTTTACATGATTTATAAACCCATCAACATTTTGAACATTCATTCATTATGCATTTATGCATTAATTGTAATTGATTCACTGAAATAGAAATGTTGGCCCCAAAAGGCCTAGGCTGCAGCTACGCATCATTGCATGGCACTGAATTAAAATTCACAAAAAAAAAATTACCAACAACTTGCATGCATGGTAAGTAAAGCCTAAAAAAAACAACAATGGGTTAGCGTATTCCGACCTACCCAAAAAAATATCTCCGACCCTAGCGTTTTTATGGCTTTTTCTAAAAAAACTTTTGTAACCGCCCGACCCTAAAAATTATTGCTGACCCTAGAATTTTTTGGCTTTTGTTTTTATTTGTTTATGCATACTAAAAATGTTTGCATTGCAACAGATTGGAAAAAAAAATTTAAAAATTTGTGACCGACCTACCCTATTTTTCAGTGACCTGTTAGGCCTACTCCAACCCAACAATTTTTTTAGGCCTAATTTTCCACAAAATTCTCTGATAATTCCAAATGCTAAAACAAATAACAGTTATGTGAGTTACTCACCTTTAGTCTGTTCACCTAGGGTTCGTGCAAT